CCCCCCCCCCCCGGAACCTACAGGGCCGAGCCGGGCTGGCAATCACGGCGCTGTTTGCCGGGTTCCGCCCCCCGGCCCGCGGCGGGTGGAGGCTGTCCTGCCTGGGCGTCGGGCTGAGGGGGAGTGAGGGGGGCTGACGGGATTTGAAGGAGGCCGGCCTGAGGCTGCTTAGGGGGTTCGAGTTGAGGGGGATTGAGGGGCTGAGAGGGGCCGGGCTTAGAGAGGCTGAGGGGGCTTGAGGGAGACTCAGGGAGGCTGGGTTGGGGGGTTGAAGGGGCTTGGAGGAGGCCGGGCTGAGGGGGCCTGAGGGGGCGGGCTGCAGCATCTTGAGGGAGGCTTAGGGGGCTAAGGAGGGCAGAGGCAGTTTGAGGTTGACGTTGGTTGAGGGGGCTGATGGAGGCTGAGGCGGCTTGAGGTGGGCCGGGCTGAAGGGCTGAAGGAGGCTGAGACTGGGGATGGGAGGCTTGGTAAGGGGCCTGAGAGGGTCTAGGCTAAGGGGAGCTGAGGGATCTTAGGGGGGGCTGGTCTGAGGGGGCTTAAGGGAGGTCGAGAAGGGTTAGGGGTGATGAGGGGATGGGGGAAGCAGACTGGCCCTCAGAGGTATGAGGGAGGCTGAGGGGGCTTGGGGGAGGTGTTGAGGGGGGCGACGGCCGTGCCCACACTCTCGCCCATGCGTTTCTCATCATCCCGGACGGATAGCTAGCTACAACGGTGCCTGTCACTACCTCCTTTTTGGTACCTTTGAGAAACTCTAAAGGATGACTTTACTCTAAACTGGTAACTTATTTGTACCGCCATGATTGCAAACATTGTGTTCCAGACGAAAGATGGTCTGAGTTTGACTTGCTTGGACATCAGCCCATACACTGGATATGAAGTTAATCTTTTTTGTTCAGAAAACAGGCAACTTGTTGATTGAATCAGGCAGGTTCCTCTACTTGCGCTTGTCCTCTCTTGAGTTGTCAGAAGTTTAATGATTTGATCCAGTATAATTGTGTATACTTTTTTTTTTTTTAACCTAATTTCTTCCTTTTTTCCTCCCCTGGGTATTAAACTGCCAAAAATTTGAAAATATAACAAAGAATAAGGAAAAATGATCAACATAATTTCCACCATGTAAAGATTCCACTGTTAATATTTTGATTTTTTTTCCTGAGTTTTTTTCCCCTTGTGCTTTTTCTTTATTGAGATGATGAAATTTTATACATCAACAGCTAGATTGTCTGCTTCCTTGGTTAAACTTTCATTTTAAACATTTCCACATTTTAAAAAAGCTTAATAAGCATAACTTCATAGCTGGGTTCAGTGGCTCACGCCTGTAATCCCAGAACTTTGGGAAGCAGAGGCTAGAGGATTGCCTGAGTTCAGGGGTTTGAGACCAGCCTGGGCAACTTTGGGAGACCTCATCTCTACAGTAAATTTTTTAAAAATTAGCAGTGCATGGTGGCATGCACCTGTGGTTCCAGCCACTTGGAAGACTGAGGTGGAAGGATCACCTGAGCCCAGCAGGTCGAGTCTGCGGTGGCTGTGAACATACCACTGTACTCCAGCCTGTGTGTCAGAGTGAGACTCCTCAAAACAAACAAACAAACGAAAAACTCCTTAACTTGATAACTTTTTGATTATACAAAGAATACATGTGCAGAATATTTTTTGAAACAGTTACAGATAAATTTAAATTTCCATTTTAATTATCTCCAATTGTAATGTTACATGTTATAATAGTACCACAGTTCATTTAACATTATGATTGGGGATAACAGCACTTAAAAATTATTGAGGACCAAAAGACTTGTTGTTGTCTCATATAGTATATTTACCATCTTGGAAATTAAAGCTCAGAAAATTAAAATGTTGTATTTATTCATTTAAAATAACAATAAACCCATTATATTAATTAAATAATTTTTGAGTGAAAAATAACTATATTTTCTAAAACAAAACTTAGAAGAGTATCACTGTTTTACATTTTTGCAAATAATTTTAATACCTGGCTTTACAGAGGACAGCTGGATTTGCTTCTCTTCATTCTGGCACGCTATCTTGTTTAGGTTGAAGCATATGAAAAAGTTTCAGCCTTGCACAAATATGTAGTTGGACAAGGAAGGATCTTACAGACCTCTTAAAAGACTGCTCTTGGGGACATTCTAGAGTCTTCAGACCTCAGCTTGAGAAAACTGACTTAACCATTCATTCTTGGATCAATGGACTATTTGGTTGTTTATGATTTTACACTGTGAACAACCATTGGAACATTGAACATCTTAGTGATGTGTTCTTTTGTACAAATGCTAATGTTTTTCTGTAAGTAGAATTGCTGGGTCATAGAGTGTACTTTTTTTATGTTTGATAACCATAAAAGTACTTTTGTAATTTTGTTGTACACTCATGTTGATGTTTAGATTGTGTCAACTAATGATTTGATGAAATATGCATGTTTTTAGTTGTTTTATTTTCTTTTGGGAGGGCGGAGAGCATTCCAGTAAAACCAGAAAACTGCTTGACAAAATCTAAAAGAGGTAGAACACTTGGGTTTTTTGTGTTTTGTTTTGTTTTTGGAGTCAGAGTCTCACTCTGTTGCCCAGGCTGGAGTGCAGTGGTGTGATCATGGCTCGCTGCAGCCTCTGCCTTCTGGGCTCAGATGATCCATCTGCCTCAACTCCCCAAGTAGCTGGGACTATAGGTGCATGCCACCTCTCCCAACTAATTTTTTTGATCTTTTTGTAGAGCTGAGGTCTCACTATATTTCCTAGATTGGTCTTGAGCTCCTGGCCTCAAGCAGTCCTCCCTCCATGGCCTCCCAAAGGTGTGAGTTACTACACCTGGCTTTTTTTTTTTTTTTAATTTCTAGAAATGAAATTGTTAGATCAAATATTAGGAATCTTTTTGAAGTGATTGATACATTTTGTCAGGTAGTTTTCCTGAGAGATTGTACCAGTGTACTTCCTGTCAGCAGTGTCTGAGATGCTTTATTTAAAAATCACACCCTTACCAACATTGAGCACTTCTATTATTTAAAAAAATTGCTTTGATTTAGTGGGCAGTAAATGGTATGTGTTCTAATCCTTATTACTTTGATAGTACAGTGAACATTTAAAAAAATTTATTAGTTGTCTTGATATTATTTTCCCATTTGTAGTCAGTTGTCCAAGTGTTTTTCTGACAAATCTTTATCTCATTATGTTGTAAGGATATATGGGATAATTTTTTTAGAAGAACAATATTATTTTTTCTGTTTATAAAAGTGTGTGTGTGTAAAAAAAGTAGTAATATAAAGACATAGTGTAGCTCTGCAAGGCTTGCATAATGCTATTTTTAGATTTAGAACATTATTAACAGTTTAATATTTGTTCTTCCCTTTTTCTTCTGAATTGGGGTCTCACTCTGTCACCCAGGCTGGAGTGCAGTGGGATGATTACGGCACATGACAGACAGTTTTGGCCTCCTGACTCAGGCATTCCTTCTGCCTCAGCCTTCTAAGTAGATGGAATTACATGTGTGCTGCATCATGACTGGCTAATTATTTGGTTTTTCTTTTTTGTAGAGACGAGTTCTTGCTGTGTTGCCTAGGCTGGTCTTAGACTCCTGGGCTCAAAGCAGGCCTCCTGTTTTGGCCTCCCAAAGTCCCAAAGTGTTGGGATTACAGGCATGAGCCACCACGCCCATCGTTGTTCCTCTTTTTTTTTTTGTTGGGATTACAGGCATGAGCCACCACGTCCAGCGTTGTTCCTCTTTTTTTTTTTTTTTACAACTTATTTGTAAAAGTAGGTTTATACTATGCATAACGTTTTGCTATTTAATTTTTTTTCATTTAACATTTATATATTGGATATTTTTCCATAGAAGTATGTATAATTCTGGGCAGAGTTTTATCTAGAGTGGTTTTAGGAACACAAATTGGATCTTTAGTTATCTGATGGCAAGCTCTTGTCCTCTTCTATATTTTCTTCTTAGGTGATTTCATCCATTAAGAGATGTATATTGCCAATTCCTAAATCTTTATCTATCTCAGTCTTCTCTCCTGCATTCCAGATTCTTGTATTCAACTGCCTGTTGGATCTCTCCCAGGATGTTCTCAAGGTACTTCAAACAACAGTCCAAAAGTGGACTCATGTTTTCCCTTAATTCTGCTCCTCTTGTATTGTCTGTTGTGGTTAGTGGTACTGCCATCTACCCAGTCATCCATGTTGGAAACCTGGCAGTAATACTAGCTTTCTCCCTTGCTCTCATTCTCCAAAAGTTCTCATTCTTTAGCCACTTTTATATCTGTTTCCTTTTCATCCACTGCACTGTCTCAGCTCAGGCCATCATCATGTTTCACTGTAACCATTTTAGGAGTCTCATTACTATTGGTTTTCTGATTATCTTTTATGTCACTGTGAATTCTTTAATCATGAAGAGATTTTGTTTTTGAGTTGGAGTCTCACTCAGTCGCCCAGACTGGAGTGCAGTTGGCCACTGCAGCCTCGACCTGCTGGGCTCCGGCGATCCTTCCACCTCAGCCTTCCAAGTAACTGAAACTACAGGCACGCGCTACCATGTCCGGCTAGTTTTTGATTTATTGTGGAGATGAGGTCTCGCCAAGTTGCCTAGGCAGGTCTCGAACTCGCGGGCTCAGGCAATCCACTCACCTCAGCCTCCCAAAGCATGGGATTACAGGCTGAGCCACCGACCTCGGCTAAAGAGATTTTTGAAAACAATTTTAGTGTAAAGTATTGTAAAGATTTGTTTGTAAATCTGAGAGTGTATGAATAGCCAAGTAAATAAAAATAC